TGAGATAATTAGTAAATAACTTTATTTTCAGTATCTATTTTTCGAAAGGAAGTGGTACTTTTTTGTGCTCTCAAATATAATTCTTACTTGAGTGAAATGAGTGAATATATGCAGATTTAATGAAGAAACTACTGTAATATTTTAAGCAGTTTACGTGGTGCATGGCTTCGTGATTTCTACATTTTAACTGCGCTGTATATTGCTTAAAAGTATACTGCTTTGTGTATGATAAACGCATACATTTTTGGAAAAAATGAATGCATATTTGTAAAAATGTTAATAACTGATAAAATAATTTAAATTGTATTAATTATTAATGTATTGTATACTGACTTAACTCGCGTGTTACTTTCATATTTTATTAAATCGATTTAAATGACTAAAACTAAACAACCTTTACAATAATTTCCAATTTATTACTACTGAATCTAAAAGTGTTTTCCCAGAGTTATGTGAACTTCAATGTTTTGAATACAAAATGGCGCATAGGTTTTTTCAAAATGGATATTATTCCAAAATGGATATTATTCCTTGTATTACAGTTCTTCATTATTCATGAAAAAATAATTTCAATGTTAAATACAAATGTATTTCCTTCTTTATTCTACCAGGTATCAAATATTATAAATTCATATTATTAAAAAGTCATCTTAATTTTACAGAACTGATTTTTAATTTTCCTCGCATTTTCGAATCGTTTTCTTATAAGAGTCAATTAAGGAAAACTAATCACGAGGGAAAATGAATTCAATACCAAGAGTGTAGTAAAGATATCAAATTTTAGTAATATCAATATCAAATATTGTTGAATCTAGTTCAAATTGACATGACTTCTGTATAACCTGTACGTTCACATGGGAACATGGATTATAGGAAGTTAAGTTATAATTGGAAAAGTTAACCAGTTATTAAATTGCTGTATTAAATAGTGGATTTAAGTTGAAATGTAGTGACATTTCAATTCACAAATAGAATTCAACATTATTTTATGTACAGAAAGCGAGTAACGCAAAATCAAGCAACTTAAGAAACAAATAGATGAGCTTGTTTCTGGAAACAGAATTAACCAAATACAGTTTCGTAAAAATTAACAATGCAAATTCGACAACAGATATTGAAATATGTCTCAAAATACAGCAAGTTATTATTGCCTGGCTTGACTTTTATATAAAATAAACACATCTAAATAAAATACACATAAATAATACACATATTTATTATTCACTAAAACAATACGATCTCATTCTGTTACTTCCAATCCTGGGAGCGGGGACAATCCATCAGTGAGGTTCTTCCACATGTGACGCTAACCAGAAATAACGAGCGATGTCGCTATTTTATGATAATAACCTCAATTTAGATTGACAGCACGAAGAGCATCATTTGCAAGCTGTAATTGGCAGGCAGATGGCATTATAGAGTTCAGTGTTAGCACCTCACTGCATCTGGCTGCATCATTCACAACCAAAAATTTGCTCACGAGTATTCTCGTAAAATTTTGTATTTTTAAATATTAGATATATTTGTATTCTAATATTTACAAAAATGCGTTATACCAGGTATCAATTTCCTTTGTGCTTGAATGTTACGTCTAGAAAAAGGTATTTTCTGTCGCTAAGCCTCATGCAAAAATAAATTTTACTACTCAAATATTTCAATATTTCAACAGAAAATGAAAGAACAGAAAATTAGTACACACGATTAACAGATCATCTGATTCCTCCCAAATGTGACAGTTCTCTCCTTGGAGAGGAAAGTGTAACAGTCTGTTCCATGTTGTTATTCACGTCAGGAAAAAGAGCCTCAAACCTAGAAGACACTGAACGTCTGAAAAATAATATTACACTTCTTCTGTTTATTGTAATACCTTAGTTAGTGATAAAATGGCATTTTACCGACATACCTGCCTTCTTAAATAATACCTAGTACAATGGAACAAGTGTAACAAAATTAACCATCGTGGAAAGAAATACATCTTTTCGGAACAGGCTTTCAGCCTAATCCACGATCAATTAATCTCTTACTACATTTTATGGGATATGATTAGATCCGGGAATTGACATAATATTTTTGATGGGCATTTATTCAGAGTTATTTGAAATGATACAAGCATAAAAAAGGTACACTAATCATTTTCATTTTATGTAAACACCATACCCTTAGGGTTGAACTCGTGAACTTGTGTTTAAGAAATCAGTGCGCCAACACCCATTCTTCTGGGGTCGACTTCAAATCTAGCACTTCGCTTTAATTCAATGTGTTTTCAAAGAGATCCTGTGCTGATGTCCAAGATATTATAATAGTTATTTACAGATTATAATGACGGATTTAAAGAAACGTTTTATCCAGGAAGAATAATAATTAGATCTCGAGCGCCATAGGGCAAGGACATAATTCCTTCGAGTAAAGAAAACTCAGTTAAGTCCTGTTTCACATTAAAATCTTTATTTTAAAGTAATATTTCTCTTTTTTTATGTAGTTTTAATCACGCGTTCATGCATGTCATATTAGCTAGTGTCTATGATTATCGATAAAAGTGACGCATTTACTACTCGTATTAGGAGGCGTATGGAAGACAGTGATGAGGACGGGTACTCAGGTAGGGCGATGAGGGCAGGTAGTGATAAATTTATACCCGTCCTCTCTCCCTATAATGATTGTTTGGCGCCATTGCCAATCCTCTACTTGTAGTCATCTGTTCGGCCTTCAATGCGATTACGGGAACAAGAATGGAGGTATAAGGCTCCTTATTTTTTGATGTTACTTTAACTCCTCCGGGATTAAAATGTCATTTTAATTCCTGCGGCAATAAAGACACCCATGTGATACGCCAAGAAACGTGTGTGGTTAAAGTCACACTTAAATCACTTAAAAAAATAACAGGCTTAGAAATATTAAAAAATCCTGATGCTTGACGCAAATAGTGTTGCCTATGAGTGTGGCGTGCTATCGTTGATGTTCAAGCCCTAAACTCCGATTTAAACAGTGGCACTTCAAGGTCACAAGATACAGGTGAACGCAGAGGGGGACACTGTCATCCAATCAGAAGTTTCGTTACGACTTAATGTTTTGGTATCGGAGCTTCGGATTGTATGCCAATGGCCCCTCTGTCCTTTCACCTCGTGACCTTGAAGTGCCACTCTAATTCAATCGGAATTGCCCGCCCAACTCCGAGCAGAAACGCCAAGCACAAAGGAGTTGGTCCCGGGCGCCCGCGCGGGGGGCGGGACTGGTGGTGGGAAGAGAGCGGGAGGAAGGGGCGTGGCGGAGAGGTGGGGCCTGCGCGAGAGGCCGACCCCTGACGCGTTGCGCTGCCGTAGGTGTAGATGTCCTACCACGGCCGTACACAGCCCATCTACGACGTCGTTGCCTCGCAAGGAGCCCTTCCAACAGCCGCTTCTACAAGCCAAGTTCCAGCGCGCCCAGCGTAAGCACAAGCGCCCCGCACTCCTAGCGCACGCACACACCCCCCGCCACTCCCGCCTCCACCCCGCACCACCTCGTCCCACACCACACCGCCCGCCTCGCCATCACCACCCCGCCCACCTCGCCCCACACCACCCCGCCCCACCTCGCCACTCCTCGCTCCTCCCCGCCCGTTTCGCCTCACCCGCCACTCCCACCCCACCCCTGCCCCGCCCCGTTCCACCTACCACCTCCTCCCGCCCACGCTCCGCCTCCACCCGCCCAAAGCGCCCCACACTACCCTAGCGCCGCCCTCGCCCACTCCTTCGCTCCTCCCCGCCCGCTTCGCCTCACCCCGCCCTCCCCGCCCCGCACCACCCCGTCGCACCTCACACTCCTCACCGCCCCGCGCTGCACCCAGCCCCACGGCACCCAGCCCCACCTCACCTCGCCCCACTCGCCCACCCCGTTCTACCCACTCCACCCCTCGCTTCCCTCTCCGCCCTCAATCACCCCTCCTCGCAAACATTTAGTTCGAACTTTAGACTTTTGAAACAAAAAGGATGTAAGTAACTTCGAAATAAACCAGGATATAATAAAAATTATCCCATCGTATTATTAATAACTATGCTAATCTTCGTTGACAATAAAACTATATAATAATCTTGGTGACAAGCACCTCATATGCTATTCAAAAGAGGCGGAAAAGCAAATTTAGGAAAATATGTTTTGACGTATATCAATTGCGAATTAATCTACTTCCAAACCACTTTATTACAGCAGTCTTCATTTGGGGAAACTATACAATCATAACAATCTCAATGTCTCTTTAACTATTACATTCGTGTTCCTTCATTAACGTCTTTCGTCCTACCACGCTCTACCTCGCCCAGTAGATGAGGTGTATTGATGGGCAAATGTTGATGGTGAAATTAGGGTAGATATTGTTGTGAGAGGCAGGGAAAAGCCTGGAGAAAACTCGTCCGGAATCCATTTTCTCAATCACAATATCTTCACTTTATTACCCCCACGTTTGCTCCATGGGTTAAGGACTTTCCCTCGCGTAGCATTTTTTTTTCGTAATAAAGTTCCTCGTATATTGATTCTTCCGAAATTGTCACAGCGTGTTCACCGATCTTATAAGATTGAGGAATTTGATCGATCGTATAAAATTGAGAAACGAGACCTACGATACACCACGTTCTGCAAAGCGAGCGTGAAGTTTTTACTCAAGATATCTGAAAAACGTTGTATCACCGTAAAAAAACCACACAAAACCTTTTTAACACGGTGACGTCACGTCACAATATAAAAAGTACTTTTATTTTACACAAATTTGTTGATAGCAACTGATACTTTATCTCAATAATTGTGAAGAGTAGTGATGAATAACATGACAATTCGTAATAGAATAATTTTTTACGGTCGTGGATAAAAATGTTTATTTCGTGTGCGAAAAAGTTTTCTTCCTCAAATTCGATTGTTGTTTCCCTCGATATATTGAAGTTGACCTATCGGTGCAAAAAAGCAATAATTTCACGCAATTAATATAAAAGTAACTATTGCATTGAGAAAGCACATTTTCGTGGTGTGTAGCGGTGTGTGTGTGTGTGTGTGTGTGTGTAGACGGCGAAGCGCGCGTCGGAGCGCGTGGTGGAGGCGGTGGAGGCGGCGGAGGCGGCGGCGTCTGGGGAGACGGACCGCAAGAAGGCGGCGGAGAGGGCGGCGGAGGAGCGCGAGCAGCGCGAGATGGCGGCGCGGGCGGAGGCGGCGGCGGCGGAGGCCGAGGCGGCGCGCCTCAAGGCGGAGCGCAAGGCGGCCGCCGACAAGAAGGCGCACGAGGACCTCGAGGTAACCAACACTCCCACGCTACGACCCGCGCTTCGCGCTCCGGTAAAAGTTTTTTTTTTAGTGATACACACGTCGTTAGTAGCAATAGACGTACAATAGGAGCACGAAGACTACGAGGTAACACTACCCCCGATTCTAGTTCTGCTAGATGACTTTTTGGTGGTACCCACGTCGTTAGTAACAATGGAGATTCACTGGTGAGGCGTACGAGGACATCAAAGTAACCAACACTCCCGTGCTATGACCCCCCGCTTCTAGCTCTGGTGGAATATTTTTGGAGATACTCATGTCGTTAGTAGCAATGGACGTGTAATAGGAGTACGGAGTAACACTCCCATGCTACGACCCCCGAGTTTAGTTCTGCTAGATGATTTTTGGTGGTACCCACGTAGTAAGTAGCAAAGTGGATGCTGGGAGGAGGCGAACGAGGGCGTTGAGGTAACTAACACTCCCACGCTATGACACGCACTTACAACACTGATGGAAGATACCCACGTTGTTAGTAGCAATGGACGTGAAATAGACGCACGAGAACTAAGAGGTTACACTCCCATGCTATGACCTCCGCTTCTAACTCTGGTGGAAGATTTTTGGAGGTACCCGCGTCGTTAGCAGCAACGGAGGTGCAATGAGGAGGGCCACGAGGTCGTCGAGGTAACACTCCTATGCTATGACCCCCGCTTCTAGCTCAGGTGGAAGATTTTTGCAGATACACACGTCGTTAGTAGCAACAGACCTGCAACGAGGAGCAAGAGGGCTATGAGATAACTCTCTCTTGCGAGGTCTTTCGTTTTTAGCTCTGGTGGGGAATTCAAAACTCTCACCCGATTTTCTGAGCTTCTCTTCGATGCTCACGTCGTTTGGTGTAACGGAGGTGCAGTGTGATAGCGCAGGAGAACTGCGTCGTGACAGTCCCACGCTACGAGCGCGGTTTAATTTTGGGGAAAGATTTTTGGAGGTACCCTCATCGTTAGTAGCAACGGATGTCCAGTGAGGAGGCGTACGAGGACCTTGAGGTAACACTACCTTGCAAGGATCGTCATTTTTAGCTCTGATGGGGAATTCGAAACCCCCACCCTATTCTCTGAATTTCTCGGCGGTACTCGTGTCGTTTGTTGCAACGGGGGTGAGGTGAGGAAGCGCAGGGGAACTACGAGGTAACACTCACATGGTATATCCCCCGTTTTTAGCTCTATTTGAGGATGTTGAAGTTTCTTTTGGATAAACACCGCGTCATTTTAACGAAGTGGGCAGAGAGAAGGGAAACCCAGGCCATTCAGATTCGTCTGAATGGTTAGCAATTAGGTCCAATTTCACCGTAGCATTATACCTTAATCACGTGAGGAGTTCAGTAGTAACTGGTTCCCAAATAGTAAATGGGACTTTTTACTCCGTAGAGCTCAGAACAGTAAACTTATGATTGATCCCATAGAATGGTGCGATGGTGTTAATTTCATGTGTAGGATAGTCACTTCAATCATGACGTCCTCAGAAGTCATACGTTTTTCCTACTCTCATTGTATAATTCTGTAATTTGAAGGCTGCAACCAGTTGTATAATGATATTCATAACGAAACATTATTTCATTATGATACAGGTTCTTGACCAATCACAGAGAAGTTACAATACAAACCAAGTATTGGTAATTAATTAGTCATTGAGAATCTATCTGGTAAATGTTTTGTTCGATTGTGTACATTAAAATTGCATTTAATATTATTTTATGCTTGTCAATTTTATTTTATTTTACTTGTAGTATTTTTTGTGGATTATTATTTAAAATAATGGTAATTTCACTTCAGTCCTATTTGACTAGCGTAGTACTCCCTCGCAGGCGACTGGTAACCTGCATGTCAACTGCCAAGAAACGGTTCAATGTAAAAGTTTAATCTAAAGAAAATACCATAAGTCGTAGAAAAAGTACCGTATGAAACTCTATGTAATGGGAATTACAATATATTTTCATAATGTACTACTGTTCACGATGTCTTGTAATGCTACACTTCTGTGTAGTATTTATGAAAATGTTACTGACGGAGTGTGTGGCGGTGTTCCAGGCTAAACGCAAGGCGGAGGAAGAGGCCATTCGCCAAGCCGAGGAGGCCCGCAAGGCGGAAGAGCAGCGCCTGGAGGCGGAGAAGAAGGCGGAGGAGGCGCGGCTGGCGGCGGAGCAGGCGGAGCTAGAGCGGCTGGAGGCGGAGGCGGCGGCGGCGGAGGAGGCGGCCCGCCTGGAGGCGGAACGAAAGGCCGAGGAAGAGCGGCTGGAGGCGGAGAGGAAGGCGGAGGAGGAGCGCAAGGAAGCGGAGAGGAAGGCGGAGGAAGAACGCCTGGAGGCGGAGAGGAAGGCAGAGGAAGAACGCCTCGAGGCGGAGAGGAAAGCAGAGGAAGAACGCCTCGAGGCGGAGAGGAGAGCGGAGGAGGAGCGCCTGGAGGCGGAGAGGAAGGCGGAAGAGGAGCGGCTGGAGGCGGAGAGGAAGGCTGAGGAAGAACGGTTGGAAGCAGAGAAGGCGGCGGAACAGACACAGGTAAGTGTGCGATTAATGTCGATGTTAAGAAGTTTTCTTTTTTCGCCTCTTTTGGATGTGTACGAAGAGGTGAAAGGGGGAGAAGCAAAATAGCATAGCATTTTTCGTAAATCTGATGAATTCTTGGGGACTAATTTCATACTCTGTAGCAGATATAGAGGCTTCGGTGAGGATGACGTTTCGAACAGCGAACAAAACAGTCGTTGTTCGTTATCGTAATACATGGTTACTGGTGACTGGCCTTCGTTTTCTTGTGTCTGTCTTTGCTACCGTTCAGAATATTGAGGGTCAAAGAACAATACTTTTGCTACAGAAGAAAACGTAAAACGAGTAATTAGAGGGTCTTGAAAATCACTAAATAGGTACCCGAATAATCGTAATATATAGAAATAAGAAAACAAAGTTTTTACAAGGATATTTGTAAATCTGGGCAAATCCGCTCTCGAACCGAAGCAATTGAATTTTGTAAACAGAGGCATCAGCCGAGGTATGCGTACATATCTAACCGAATCCATTATTCGAGGTATCAGTCGCGTGTTGTTCGATATTTTTGTAATACCTCCTCCTTACAAGATACGTACAATAGCATAAATAAAAATATACCTCTTCTTGAAGTAGAAGCAGTCATTCGCCAACCTTTTGCTCTTAAGAAACGGCATACTTCAAAATCATTATTAAGAATGGAGTTTTGTTCCTCTGGTTGCACTATGTCCATAAAACAGAACAAATGAATGGGTGAAAAGAAGAACCGTATAAATGACATTTTAAAAATTCCGGGAAATTTGATTAATTAAGTCAATATTACTAGAAGGTCGTTAAACAATTTCAACAGTTCGTTAAAATCACATCAAAAATACATTTCCACTGAAATATAGCCTAAAATAAATACATATTTTCTCAGAATTCATACAATGTTACTTATACCTTTCTGGTTTTCACTCATTCAATTATAAAAAGTATTTCACTTCGTCTGTACAATACGTGATCAGAAATGAGAACAAACCCTAAACTTTACCTAGAGATGTTCTTTTACCTTCAACCTGCACAGATTAGTGACAGATGTACGTCACCCCTTACTGTCAAATAGAAAATGATACCTTGCAACTAAAGTAATGGGTAACAAGTACGAGATGTCAGATTTTGAATAATAGTAACACAATATAAATACCCAGTGTATTATATTATATATTAACAGGAAGTGCAGTGCACCAATGTCAAAGATTGCAAAATTTGGATGACGGAAAAGAATTATAGCGAATGTAGATTATTGCCGACGTTCAACTAAAAATGTTCAGTTACGATTAACATAACGATCAACGAGTGGGAGGTCACGGTGTTAACCATGAATGTAATGAATATGTGTCTGAAGATGGAGATATTTCTCTCCGAAACGTACCGATGAATAAAGTAATTAAAAGGTGATTGTCAATAAAAAGATTGGGCCTTCATGTGTTTGTTGTATTATTAAATTAGTAAATGACGATCTATACCTAAACAAATGAATAATCAACTACTAAACTTTACCGCTCGCTGCGCAGGCGGCAGAGGAGCCGGCGGCGGAGGCGGAGGCGGCCGCGTCGGAGGTGGACGCGGCGGCGGCGGAGGAACCGGCGACGCCGGAAGCGGAGGCGACGGAGGCGGTGGAAGCGGCGGCGGCGGAGGCGGAGGCCGAGGCGGAGCCGGCGGTGGCGGAGGCGGAGGGCGAAGCGCCGGTGGTGGAAGAGCCCACGTCACGACACGCCCGCCCCGCCCCCGCCTCGGAGGACCCCGCCTCCGGCACCGCCATCGAGGAGGTCTTCAGCGGCGACGACGAGTAGCCTGCAACCCCACCACCCACCCACCCACCCACCCACCTCGCCACCCACTCGGCGAAGCACTGCGCGCCACCCCAACACCTGCCCCGCCCAAACCACGTAACCAAACCATCCAACCACGTAACGACGTAACAATATGTGGGATCGATACTCTGGACCGAACATACTCTTTGTCGAAGTGATCCAAACTCTAATATCAATTGATATTGGAGCATGGCTTAGTACTTTCGATTTTCGACTAATATCAATCAATACAGATACCAATACGTTCGATGACAATCGATACTGATTGAAAACTTGTCCCCATGAACAGTTAAAAGGTTTTAGTGAAGTAATTCTTGCTATTAGTCACATTTCTATCATAAAGTGTAATATTTTACTTTCTTTAGAGACAAGAAGTTTACGTATTTGCTGAAATGAAAATATTTGCAAGACTTAAAATATGGTGTTAACCCATTTTTTTGTTTACACTTTTACTGAAGTTTTGAAGTCGAGATGATTGATCCACAAAACTAGTTACATATATTGATAAAATACGAAAGGGAAGTATCAGATTTCATCTTAGAAATCCCTATACATTGGAATAAATTCTTTGCTGCTCAATTATTGGATAAAATGAATTCAATACACGCAAGAATGTAAAAATGACCTCTTGTAAGAGGTTTGTAAATATGTGGTTTGGGTTCTTTCAGAAATACGTTCTGTGCTTCGCCGAGCAATATTGGTACCTCAACCTACTTGTTACCTTCTCTGTGAATTGGCATTAACATAATGCCAAACTTCAAACCCCTCACCCACCGCAATTTTTCTTGTTTCTGATTCCGTGTCGTGTTGCAATCGGGACGTGCCTGAATGAATGTAACGCAAAACATATCATATAACAAAAGAACCAGATCTTTCCTTGGTATACGACGTTCCGAAAGACAGCATGGCACACGTACTCTCTGTAGGCCCAAAGCAGTATTCTTGCCTAGAAAGACATGGTCCTCTTCTCTAACGTTTCGTGTTAGTCGTTATTGTCGTTGCTTGCTACCCACCTGATCCAGGTGTTCGGGAAGGCGTCAATTCTATCTTGATCGATCATCTTCTTCCTTCCCCCTCCTCTTCGAACGAGCAACAAATCTCTCCTTGTGTTTCGTAAGGAGAACTTTGTTCAATGAGCATTACGTTGTACAGATTTGAAATACAATGCGAAGCCTAGAGTTGCATATTAATTTGAATGTAAATACTTCTGTGATTTTACCCCGTTGTTTGACTCACATGATGTACATACTAAGACCGGCTAGGCTTTCCTTACAGCTGTTATGCTGTTCTGTGTATGGAGTGTGCTGTGTCGTTGATAGTCATCTCTAGAATTGTCTATCTTGTATAATAAGAGTGGTTTCTGCATTTAAAATATATTTTCTATGACTAGCAGAGCTCAAGATAACAAAATTGAATTTATTGAATTTACTGTAGGGGAGTTAGCGCAATATTACATTTTGGAAACTTTGGAACTTGTTATACTTTGTATTCATGTTGGAGAAATCCCAATAAAATATTTTGATGAAAGATATGTACTTATGTTTCTGTCCCACTATCCTTCCATAAAATATTTTCTTTATAGTATAAAATATGAGATAAAAATAGTTCGTGTCTATTTTAGTACAATTTAAAAACACCAAGTACATTAATTGATTTAAAATATTTTCAATATTAATTTTCTTTCTGTTCCCAAAGAAATTTGAAAATGTTTAACAATTTATACGATTTCTACATTGATTGATCAATTAATATACATTGTTATATAAACATGTTGTCAAGAACTAAATGTTTCAAAATATGAGTAATTCATTGTCTCATTATTTAAACAAAATAAATAGTAATTCCTCTAATTATTTAACCTAATTTGGATAATTATTGTGAAATTAGCTTTTAAATTCCTTAACGTCCATGAAAAATTGATGGTTTGACGGAAATATAATACTGCAGTTTCAACTAGCAAATTCACTCTGATTCCGCACTCATTCTCCACTGGAATTATTATTTCCCTCAAAAGTAACCATACGTTCGAAAACAATTCTTCTGTTTAATGAATATGCATTGTAAATATTCATTTATAACAGCAGCTGGGCCAGTTTCATAAGAAGTTCTTCCCAAGAAAAGAGTTCCTTACAAGAAAAGAGTAGGAGGTAGGATCACTTTAATTTAAATGTGTCATTATTTAACCCTGAAGATGTGTGGCTTGAGTAACGTAGAGGTAGTGGAGGATCATTTCTCACTATCTGTGGGATATTTCTTTCTTATATAAATATTTGGCAGAGAATAAGTAGTAATTTATTGCATTAAAAATAATGAATTATAATTATAGTTATTAAAAGCTTACCGAATTATGAAAATACGGTGGTATCCTCGAGTGGAGCATTTAAGTGACAAGTAAAATCTATTTTGTTGCATAACTGTTTCTATTCAAATGTAGACTGTTCTGAGCATCAAAAAGAAAAGTAATATTAATTTTAACAATGATATTGAAAATATAAATTACCGTTTCGACTATACAATTCTCAACAGCTTGTAACAAGTATTCTACTTCAGCTTCTGGGTCAATGAACCCCATCTCGGTAAGGTTTTTCCAGTTTCTCTGATCCCTTGAGCAAGTGCAGAGATGGCACCTGGTTTTGGTTCTGGACGTAAATATAACTTCACTGTCTGTGAACGTCTTCTACAGTTCTGTAGGAAATATGATTATTAAAATTATCATTTTCCATGTTTTAACAGCACGATGTCGATTCCTTCACGAAGGGCACGATGAGGGATAATAGTCTTAATCTATAGATTATTTGCCTATGAAAATATTTTTATTACACTGAAGTGATTTTTTTTATCAATTCTTGCCCAAAATTGCTCATTTCCTTCTATATTCAGAATTCAACTTGTATGTGGGTTATAGTAGGGATTCCATAATTTACGAAAACGTTTACAGAATACACTTCTCCTCATAGTATGCTACACACAATATTTAGCTTAAATAAATAAATAAATCTTACAGTTCAAAAATTCTTATTAAACAGCACACAACACGTAGAGGGCTTGTTTTCCAATATTTGCCATTATTTGAGAATGCGATGAATGAAAAGAAGGGGTAAAATATCAAGGTTGTATAAACTAAAGCATACTGGAGCTCCTCGGGAACTTTTACGTTCTCGTATAGAAGAAATATTATGTATATTATGGAATAAGTACTCTATAATTCTTCGGTCCATATTTTGCATTGCTTTTTGCTTTCATCAGAGTAGCAATAATCAGAGTAGCAGTAATACTCATATTACGGCTATTTCGATATGATGCACTCCAAAGTCATCCCAGCTGCAAAACAGAAATGAAGTAAGTATATTAAAGAAGAGGTAAATTCGACGTGTTTTGCGAAGTTTATTTCTTCGCTTTTCATTTTCCGTGTTCCATAAATTGTCGCAATGTCACATCTCAAATATGTGGACATGAGATAAGTGTGGCCATTCTGATTGGTTCAGTGAACTATCCGTGTCTCGCTGAGTGAACGAATACAACGTTGCTTATGATTCTATGAGTTCACTGTCGGTAGTACCGGAGATACCCGGGCCAGCGCAGCAATCGCGAGCCGGGTTAAATCGCCCGGAGATCAGGGTCTGGTTACCAGCATTTGTGTCGTGACGGACGCGGTACGGTCTAGGTATTCGGAACGTGTGTTTGAGGGAAGCTTGTTCTTTTATCCATGGAATGCGAAGCGTGCCAGACCGTGCCGTGGTGTGGGATTTTCGCTATCTGTGTGGTGTTTCGTAGAAGATTGCTGCAAGTAAGATAATGCTGAACTCTACGTTCACCTCGACTTCCATAGGGTGCGATTAGATGTCAAGGGGAGGACTGCTTTGAAGATTGAATGGTAATTATTTTGCACGTACCTCATTACTAGCATACGTTTTTATGTATTTTAACTTGAACTGTAGATTTTATTGGTGTACAAGAAAAGTAACAAGATCTCTGATCATTTTTAGGAAAATCAACGAATTTATTTAGAAAATAGAATATTTGTATTAATGATTCAATGTGATTGTATTGATAAGTGAAAAGAGGTTTTATGATGAGGTTATAGATAAACGGACACGTTTCTCAATGTAGAAAAGGTGTAGTCAGCTCCGATAAAAACGTGGTTCTACAAAATGCGAAATTTTAAAATTTCACCTTTCTTGCAAACTTGCATCAATAAAGGATTTTTAGTGATACGTTTATTTTATTTTAATTAGTTGTGTAATTCGGGTTTCGATAACAATGACATTTCACTATTCGTAGGAAGATACAATGTAATGGAATGGAATGTGATGTCATTTTATGTATGCATTTACGTAAAATAAGCTGCATATACCATTTCGTACTAGTGGATTATCATTGCCATTTTACAACAGTTCTAGAAACTACTAGGAAAATAGATCGTCTTTTTTTTCATTAAAGCGAATAATCGGAATATCTCCCATCAGAGACCGTTATTTACATCCCACCACATTTTTCATGTTCATTAATATTACTGGATCATAAGTAGAATTAGCAATCGACAAGAAGTATTAAAATACTGGAAAACATATTATACATTTCAGAAATTTATGAACATTCAGGAAGGAAATACAACCAATACCTACATAATGAATTTAGTGTAAACAGAAGTTGTGTAATTAGTACAAAGAGCTCTAATTTTCACAACGCGTTTTTACGTAGTTCTTCGTTACATAGTTCATGGATGCATTGTACAAGTTTTATGTGAACATTGGAACTTAATTCAGCCTCTAGGAGGCGCTAGAAGGATTTTCGCTAGCGAGAACGCTCGGCTGAACTGTGGGAGATATGCTAAGGAGATTACACAGACCCATATTAACTAGTAGGCTCGAGACTCGGTATTTCTAAGAACCCTGACGAGTACTGGAGACGATCTTGAATGCTTTCTACTGAAAGGAACCAGCAACGTTCGATCTCTCGGTGAACACGCTTTGCCTCCG